GTCAGCACAGCCAGCAGCGCCAGCGGGATGCCCCATCCTCCGGCCATCGCCTCTCCTGGCACCGGGCAGCGAGAGCGGGACCAGGCGAGGGGCAGGCGTTGCTCTTGGGCCGGGGAGCTGTGTGCTGGGGGCCCCGTGCCCGAGGGACAGGGCCCCCCCAGGTGCTCAGCCAATAGGAGGGAGCCCCGAGGCTGACACAGCTGTTCCCAGGCAGAGCAGCAGCGCAGAGCGCCCTGCAGAGCAGACAGATGGACAGACGGATGCCCAGAGAGAGCCCCACTACCAGGACATGGCTTGCGGGGCCCCACATCAGGGTTCTCCTCGGGGCCCGGCTCCCCCGCTCTCTGAGAGCCTCGGGGACGCTCTCCCGTCCCTATGGGTGTGGGCCAGATCCTGCTCCCTGCCCTGGGGTGCAGTGGGGCAGGGCTGCAGCCAGGGGCAAGTGTCAGAGGGAGCCCTGCGGGGCCCGGCTCTGCCTGGTGACGGGTGATGCTGCCCAGCCTTGCTCCTCACTGGTCCTCGCTGGGACTCCCCGTCCCGGCACTGGGCAGGACCGGGGTGATACCCTGAACTGTCCAGCCTCTGCGGCGATGGAGACTGGTTGCTGGTTGCATGCTGGGAGCCCACCCGGGTGGTGGCAAGGAGACCCCAGGCCCCAGGAGACCCCTGGCATGGGGAGGGCGTTGGTGGGGCTGGATCCCACACGTGCCCTGGGAGGTGCTGGGTGTCGGTGGGGGACCGGTGAGAAGAGGCCTTCCCCCCCCTCCCCTGCCCCTGGGACCACCCTGCAGGGGTGTGAGGGCTGCCCCCACCGAATCCCTTGTCCTGTCTGTCCTCTGCAGGGCCTGGGAGCAGTGGGCTCCAGGTGAGACCCAGTTCCCAAACCGTTTGGGGGAGCTGCTCCCCCGCCTTGCTGAACCCCGGGAGCAGCCTCTTGGCTCGGTTCTGCCCTGGCTCCCTCCTGCCTCCTCCCTTCCCTTGGCCTCTGTCCCCTCATCCTCCCCTGCTCGTGTCCCCTCCCAGCCC